GTACGGCTCGAAGCGATTTTATGTTTGAACGACCCACTGGGAACTTTTCAGCGATATAAAAAAGTTGGTCGTCAATTTGCGAAAGAAAGTCGAACGTAATACTTCAACGGCTCTCCGGCGTTCTCTAGGAAAACACGACCGGGGGATTGAAAATTAAAATATAATTTGTACGCAAGGCAGCCCCAGCTGGGCGCGGGTGAGTCTACGTTTCAATTATATGCTTCGTTTATACCGAGTCGGGAAACGATTAGTGTACGTCGCGCTCGTTAAGTCGCTCCTGGGGATAGGATGATTTGCAAACGAGTGACTCGAAATTATGTCGAGCATCCCTAATGAATCTACCGTCTCGTGCTTCAACCTCCTCCTTTTACGTCTTAACCTGTTCCATCTGCCAAGGGTAACCGCGAAATCAGCGATTTTTTAACCGAAACGCGCCAAGTTACATCTTACGACCGGGTAAATCGCGAGAAATTACCAAGTTGAGCCGGAGAATTGGTCTACAACTTATCAAACGTATTATATTCTTGTTCAAGAAATTAATACTTTCGCGGTGAGATAAAAGCGGGACGCAAATGGCGTTAAAACGCGAGATTTACGCGTTCGAAACAAACGTATTGTCTCGCGTCGCTGGTATTCAATATCGCGGAACACAACGCGGTCGCGCAAACACGCGGAACTCGGTGCGCTTCGCGACAATACCATTGTAATAACCACTGATTTATATTCCCCGCGGGCAAACGGCCGCCAAATCTAAATCCCAATCCTGCACCGGCCGTTTCCGCGACTACACGCTTTGTTCCGTCGCGGACCTGTGCACGAAGTTCGATCCGCGGGGCTAATTCCGCCCTTTCATCAAGTTCAGTCCACCCTCGGAATAAAACCAATACGAAATTCTACGATTTACCACTACTTAAGAACTTGTCTGTTTCTACACAGCAAAGGAAATGCACAAATTTGAGTTTCTGGATCTTCGATCTTCTAGAAAAATAATTTTAATATCGTAGGGGACATTTCGACATGTCCAGAGAGCATCTTTCGTTAGCACAATACTAAGTTTACAGCAAGTTTCGCGATATGGCGGCCCCGTAAATCAGTGTTCCCAAGTTCGAGGATCGATGTGCCCCGAAAATATTATTTATCGTTCGATTCCAGGCCGCCGGAAGCTACGGTAACGCGATAGAATTTATCCACATAGCGCGGTACAAAGGCTAACCTACATATATTTCACAGTTAGCTTGCATAAAGCAAGACCGAATGATCAATTTCGCCTTAATGAAATTCTACCGTCGCCGGGCGAATACCCACCGGGTGGCGATGAATAGTCAAGCGTGCTCTTATTACCGAAAAATATTAATCGTTTCTCCCTCTTAATTCCCGGTCCACGGCCTCGGTTTTAACGAGTCGTTCGCTTTTAATCTCGTCGACGGGGATCCGCCAGGTTTCCCCGCGGCCAGGGTTCACATTCGCGTTTGACGCCCGGATAAAATATTCATACCACGATCGTAAGTTAATTCGTCTCTCTGCCGTCTGACACGGACATTTATACGGCCCGCGGAGACGCGAACGTTGAGATATTCAAACGATGTTAATAAACTCCACGCGCTAAATCGCTCAGGGACGTTTCGCGCTCGACCAAACTTCCCACGATTTCCGCGTCATCCCCCCGCAAATTGTTTTCGATTCTAATTCGAAGTTTCAAGGAACCGACCCACCTTGTATAATTCACAGTTAATCGACGTCGTTCGGTCCGCGTGAAATAACGCGGAGCTAGGAAAAACGTTGTTCCGAGGGAAACGCGTTTAAAGTTTCGTCCCGGGGATCGTGTTCGGTTCGCGACCTACTTCGAAACCCCGCGCATCTTCGTGTTTCATATTTCGTTGTAATATTTAACACTCGTGCTGGGGATATTGCACGGTCACGGGAAATTTTAGAGAAATTGATACTTCGTACGCGAAGTGGGGAAGGATATCTCCGCGATAAAGTGGCGTCCTTCGCGCGCGCGCGCGTGTGGCCTGAAATATCGAATCAATTTGAAAATATGTCAGGGGAGACTGGATGCGCGGAGATTACGATCGGGATAATGGAAGATTGATCGGTTTTCGATGACGATGAACACCGATATGACGGAACAACGAACTGTTTAACCGATCGGCTCGTCGATGCTTTCAATTTACAGGGGAAAGAAACTGAGCTGACTCGTGGCCGCTCGTGATTAATAATACTACGTTCCACCGTTAAAAGAATTGCTTGATGATAAACTTCCGTATCATTGAAATTGTTATTCTTAACAAGCTATTCTATTTTATTTGACCTCTTCCAACGGCTCGTCGATGCTTTCAATTTACAGGGGACAGAAACTGAGCTGACTCGTGGTCGCTCGTGATTAATAATACTACGTTCCACCGTAAAAAGAATTGCTCGATGATAAACTTCGTATCGTTGAAATTGTTATTCTTAACGAACTATTCTATTTTATTTGACCTCTTTCGACGTAATTACCAAGAATTCTAGGAACGACAAGAAATAGTATTCTTATATTTTATACCTTTTGGATCCTTTCCAGTCAATACTACGAATGTGAAAATTTTTTTTTTTGAAGGGTCCTTTTCGAACTAATCAATTTACAGGCTCGGGGAAAGAAACTGAGCTGATTAATAATACTACGGTCTACCGTCGAAAGAATTGCTTAATAATAAAATTCGTATCATCGAAATTGTAATTCTTAACGAATCGTGCGACAATCGCCGTGTATCGTAAGTCATTAATCAGATTACAGTTCGGCCAACACTGGTCTCTATCGACAATTGGAGGGACGAGAGTGTACAGATACAGTTGAGAGTTAAGAGAATGCCATGGAAAGAACGTCGAATTTCTGTAATCGGCTTTCCCGGGGCTTAACTAAAGTCGCTGCGACGTGGGACGTTCTGGCAGGGAAACTTTCGACGTATAAGTTTGATTAAAGCGCGCTGCTATTTTTCCATCGTTCTATTTTCGATCGTTTTCATATATCCTCTCTGACGCACGATCGCGACATCCGTCGAATAGATCGAAAGTCGTTATCCGAACGAAAGAGAATATCTGTGCAATCGATTTATTTTAATTTAGTATCCTCCAACTACTCGACACAAGTGCTTTCCACTCTTTGATCTATAAATATAAGTTGGACGTATCCAAGTCACTTAGAGACTTGAAAAATATTTAATTAAAAAAAGTCTCATACGAGTGGGCATAAATTAGAACAGCAATTGACTGGCTTTTTCGACGTTTACAGTAGTTTAAATATAGGAACACATGTTGCTGGACGCGGGTTGGCGTCGACGAAACGAACGTCGCGTCAGCTGGCGTAATTACCGCGGCCAGCTCGTCGACGAATTAATTCGCGCGTCGAACTCGTCGCTCGTAGCGCGTTTACCTTCGCCAAGTCCGGCTCGAACCGACCGCGATTTAATCCGAATTACGTTCCGATCCGTTGGAATCGTTTACCCAAGGTCGATTCGCCTCCCTCTACGAAATAAATGTTATTAATTCCGTCCCGATCCGATCGCTTCGCGGTTTAACTTTTCCCTCGTCGTTCGAGCGCGAATTTCAAAAGCTACCCTCCGACTTCGCGATGATAATATTATCACTACCACTTCGACTCTTTTTTCTCGCACATTAACAGCTTAAAATTTCATCGATATCATTCTTAATGGATCGGTAAAATCACTGTGTTTAAATAATCCACGAATAAAGCGACTGAGAGCCTTGTATCATTTCTATTCGTTTATATAATATTTATCTGTGTTTGCTAATAAAATAAAATTTATTTCATCGATACCATTCTTAATGGATTGGTAAAATCATTGTGATTTTTTGTTGGAAAATGTTTAAATAATCCACGAATAAAGTGACTTAGAGAGTCTTGCATCATTTCTATTCGTTTATACTATATTATTTGTCTGTATTTGCTAATAAAATAAAATTTATTTCATACCATTCTTAATGTGCTTTTTTCTCGTTCGAGAATGTTTAAATAATTAACGAATAAAGTGACTCAGAGAGTCTTGCACCGTTTCTATTCGTTTAGATATTATTTATCCGTGTTTGCTGGTGTCTGGAATTTTTCAATACCATTTCGCTCGTATCTCGAAGTTTCCCGATACAAAGGGTCGTCACTGGCGTAATTGCGTCGTAAAATAAAGTCCCTCCGCGTCGAAGAAATTTCTTTGTGAAAATCGCGTGATACACGGAACGAAACCCGTATCGAGTTGTGGCACGTATTACCGGGCACCCTGTATATTCAGCGATCATATTCCGCGACGCAATCAGTAGGTCCCGTACCTCGATCCTGGCATGCAATTTTGTACGTGCTCGCTCGCCGAACCTGAGAAGAAAGCTCTTTCACGGAACTATCGATCTATCAATCGCGAACCCGGTGAATCCGGCCGATTCCCAGCGCCTCGTTCCACGGGACAGAGGGGATTCATTCCACGGAAACAATTTTCGATTCGACTAAGCTCCGACTACCACCACCTACGATCCCCTTGTCGTTCCCCTCGACTACGTCAAAATATTTCCCTTCCCTTCGACGCGCCGTGAAAATTTCATCTCGTCATTATTAGAAACTTTAAATCTCACAGCGGGACAAAGTTGCCCGGAATGATCGATCGATCTAATTCTGGCTAACTACGAGCTGGAAAATTTTGTCGAACCTGTAACCGAAAGTTGAGATCCATTTTTCTGCAGCTCTGAACAAGCGACAAACAGTTTGAATTTTATATTAAGAGCTGCATAGAATTCTATGGAGTAAACTTGGAGAAAGAAATAGCGAATGTACCCCAATTAATTTGCACCGCGATGCTCTCAAATACCCGATTGCTCGGCAAGTTAACGAAGTCAGGCAGATCGTAGGAAGCTCGGGGCGGATTTTGGCTGGTTGCTCGTCGTCTAATTACGCGGGACCTCGTTTCCAAACTCCCACGGAGCGGCGTTTTCGTCGCAAAAAGGAAACATCTTCTTACCTGGTGGCTTCTTGCAGCAACAGGTGAGGCGGTACCCAAAACTTAACCCTCAGCGCGAACCTCAACGGCGCCACACCGCCTCCGGTTTGCCTCTCTATGGGATTCCGTAGGTTCAACCAAAGCTCCTCGCCCTTCGCGTTTTGGTACTTCAGCCCGAAGTAGTCGCACTCCTTGCTGACGCCCAGACAATCGCACACCTGCAAGCAGAACGGTTCCCAGTCAGAACGATTACAGTAATGACTTTCGAGTTGTCGCGAATTTTCTCCCTCGGGGTTGTTACCAACTTATCCCCACCACTTTCGCAAATTGCTCCCACCTAACGAGCCTCGCGAGCACCGCTAACAACCACACTGAAAATCTTACACATTTTCACGCCACATTTTTGATCTCAAAAGCAAAAGGGTTCGGTAGTTCAATGGTGTATAATTTTACAGCATTCTTAATATCATTTAAAAATTTATAAGTAAAGTTTGAAAGAAAGGTCGAATACTTGAAGCGTTAACCAAGTTTTGCATGACCAGAATTTCGATTCTGGGCAAACCAGGCAACTTAAAATGTTTCTCATTTTCGAGTCCATACTAAAATTCATGAATTCTATTCAAATTCATTTCCTTGAACGTTTCGCCTTGAGGCCAGAATAGCAACGAGCCCAGTCTATTATTCATCTCGCGAAGATAGTTGGCTGCTAATTTAAGGGTTAATAGAGTTTTCCAGCGAATTCCGGGGCCTCCGGGGGTGTTTTATCAGGTGGAGTTTGGGTTTTAAGGCCAGTCGATTGGAGCTAGTGCAAACACGCGAGAGTTATGTACACTTTTTGCTCGGGCCAATGTCTCTGGCAGAATTAACCGTTTACCCGGAACACTCGACCCGATTAATACGCTCGGAAACCGCGGACCGATTCGCGGGAGAACAGCTAGGCGGTCGTGCAAAGCGTGTAATAAATTGCTGGCAATAATTTAGAAAGTTAGCCCCCGCTATCCCTGCCGGGGGCTCCACAGCCTCCGACAAACTCTGCGATGGTGTGCGCCCGATGTGTGGTTACACGTATTTTTTCCACGCTGCTGCATCCACCGTTTCTTAACTAACGTATTGCTCTACAAAAAATAACCTGACACGATCATAAAACTTTATTCTCGCTTCTCATATATTACAGATACTTTCCTTTTATATTGTACACCTTTCGATACCGTAACATCTTTGAAAATTCTCTTTCGGGGGTCCCTGTCGAACTAAATAGTTCAAACGTTCACTTTACCATGCGATGAAATAAAATACAAAATTGTTATGGTACTTATAAAAATTCTATATATTATTTTATTTCCTCCTTTTATATATTACTCTTTTTTGTTTGACCTCTTTCAATGTATGCAACTTGAATTACCAAGTGCAAGAATTCTAGGATCGACCAACGTTGATAGCGAATAAATTGTAATATTTTATGCAGAAGAAAGTGCATTGTATTTTATATCTTTGGACACTACAACGGTTTTGAAAACTTTCTTTCGAGAGTCCCTTTCGAACTAAAAAGTTACAACTATGCGTTGGAATAAAATACAAAATTGTTGTCAAACTTATAAAAATTCAATATATAATTTTATTCCTATTTTGACCTTTTTGAACATGACACAATAACCAAGAATTCTAGGAACGAGCAACGCGAATGGCGAATAAATTGCACTACTCTACGCGCAAGAAAATGCACTCCACGGTGCATATTGGGAAGATTACGGTCGATCGTCGTGAGGCAAAATTACTTAACGACGATTACATTTTAGCTGTTCCCAATATTCCCCGTTATCGTGGAGTACTCGTCGTTCGTACAATGGGAAGCGTCCGATATTCCCGGCGGTCGATGGATCCAATTGTTCTGGTTTCTGTGGGGCGCGGATGCATCCAGTTTCGCTATCCCGGCTCCCGTGACAGACTGGAAGTCGACCACGTGCGTCGCGATAAGGGAAATTCACGGCGAGAGGAAAGGAACAAGAGAAGGCGAGTCCCATCGGCCCAACGGTAATAAATTTTACCCGCCGCCCGTCGCGAGCCCGGGACACTTTTTGCGGGAACCAGTGGAACCCCGGAAACCGAATGGCCGACCGAAAAGAATTACGTATCCATCCACGAGATTCTCGCGAGCGACGGTTTCCTTTCCAACCACGCGTGCGGAAGAATCCTCCGTGGATTTCCTCGACCGATACCGATGGAGATATTCTTGAAAAACATCGAACTCGAAATTGCCCAAAAACTTCACCAATTACAAACTTACGATCTCATATGTAATAAAAGTTGATCAAACAAGTTATAACGGAAATGAAAAAATTGTAACGAGAATTCAATTTTTTTACACCTGCGTGCTGGATCGAAATTTTATTCGTGCTTTATATTTTATGGAAAAATTATCAATTAAAATACGAGGATCCTTGGTCCATTGTTTGCTACTCCAGAGAAAATAATGTTTCCACGGAAATCGCGGAAGTGCCCGTAGGAAACTTTGTTCCGGACGCTTCGATCGTTTCTCGAACTATTTGCGTTTCCTGGCCCGGAAAACTCGCGTGAAAAGTTTGTGGTGCCCTTGAGCAAATCCTCGCTCGTATTTAAGTCGTAAACTTTAACGGGTTGCTTATCGCGATGTCTCGATACCACGCCGGGCGTCTGAGCCTTTCGATTCCTCGCGATTTATTTTCCAGAAAATAGAAAAAAAAAATAAACGCGATATCCACGGGGCGAATCAGGTCACAAAGGCTTTATCGATGCTTCAAAGGTACGCGTACGCGTCGCTGGGACTGGTTATGCAATGCGTATCGTTGCAAACGCTCACAATATGCAGTCGCACGTGATATGCATGTAAAACCGACTGTTCATAGTCGTTTGAACATTTTTCTATTCCTTCTTGTGCACGATATCGGCCCTAAATAATGCCTAAATAAAAATCGTTTGTCGATTTTTGTTTGGTTATCGTATTATTTATTGCAGGAAGCTACGGTGAATTCTTTCCACCCTTCATTGGGCAAATAATTGAATTTTTCTAAGAGTATAATTTGCACAAAATAGAACCACGGGATAGAATGAAAGAAACAGGTATTTTTAGGTGAACAGAGAAAACAAATCGAACTCGTTGACGAAACTTTACCCTCAAAAATAAATTGCAAATAATAGTTACGATGCTTCCTCCAAGAAAAATATTGAAACTAGATATTTACTTATACAAAAAAAAATAAAATAACGAGGAACTTCAGTTTGAGAGTTCTGTACTTTTCAAGAATATTTTTCTGTAAAGCTCGATTTAATCACAACTAATTCTTCAAATGTGCACTGTCTAATTTTTAATGAATTAGTAAACGAAGAGTACTCGTGATTTTATTCTATTTATGAAAGAAGGAGACAGTTTTCAGTTTGTGGGACACCCTGTAGAAGGTGCACCGTAATTCCGAGTGATCGTCGACGAGACGCTAGGCTTTTCTCTGTGGATGCAGTTTGTCGCGCGAATTCAATGCACCTCTCCGTCGACGGAGACGCGTTGCAGACGCGTGCCTTGGCTTTTCATGAATATTCAAACGACGCGACGGACCGTTTTGAAAAATCGCTGACACAATACCTTCGGGCCCCGGGGTTTCCACCCTTTCCTGCGGGGCGGAGACTGTGAAAAGCGGAGGTGAAAAAAGCTGAATGCGCGAGCAAAAGACCACTGGAGCTCGCTGCTTCGCTGTCGACTGCGAGCCTGCGTTTACACATCCACCTAGTTAACCCTTTCATCCACGACAAATATTTACAATTATCGAAAAACGTATTACGTTCTAGGAAAAGCAAAAAATAATCCGACCCAACCAGTTCTCACGGAAACGTGGCTTTGTTTTAAAAGAATTCACAACCAGATTGCCTTTTGTAATTTTCGTTTTGCTTCGTTTCAAAGGGGAGACACGATAGTCAAAAGTTTGCGTTCCGAAATAGACAATTTGGAAACAACGCGAATTTTAAACGGTTCTGCTTCGACCCTCGAACAGGGGAGGTTCTGGCTGGCAACGTGACCGGGGGAATTTAATGTATCCGCGTACAACGAGGGGCCAAGCGACCGTGGTTAAAACACTACGCACAGACGCGTCGCGAACAACATTTCACGCTCACACGCGGGAGAACCATAGGTGCATAACGGTTTTACGAACGCGGCGGCGAAAACACGAGCCAGACGAAGCAATTTGCATTCGCGGCGGGGAAAATTAATATCGCTGGCGGGACGAATTAAATAAACCCGTTAATCCGACGCGGCGCCGACAACAAACGAGCCTCGTATTGTTTCTGCGAATTTCGCGAACCCACCCTTTCAAACAGATTACGGGGGGAGCGAAACGCTAGTTTTTCGGTTACAAAATTACTCTACTTTCTCGTAACTAACGAGATAAGAAAATATTATTCCATTAATAAAGAATCCTGAGTCTTCGAATCGTACTGATGGTTCTAGTTTAGAATTCATAGTGTTGCAGAGGTCTGTAACATAAGCGAACGCAGTGTGTTTTTACGATAACAGATGTCTCTTGCATGCATATCCGCGACGTGCATGTGCAGTTCTCGAAATAGCTTTTCAATATTAGAGTCTAGGAACTCTGTTTTAGATCTGAATTCAGTGATCCCTCGAGCGACGATAAGGCTGGAGATAACAATGAGTGCTTATTTATTAATCAGAACCTAGTATAAACGACTCTGTTTGCACAGAATGTTCGATAGCTTTTCTTAATCAGCGATTAACGAGTCGATGTTGTGTCAACTTTTTGAGTAATCGATTGCATGAATTATTGGAAGTCCCGTTACGTGTTGTACGTCGCGTGTGATTTATGCACGGCGATGCATGGTCCCATTTCCGCCGAGTAGCCGGTCAGTTCTCGAACGAACGATTTTCTAACAGTTCTGCAAGACCTCCGTGTCTAATTTGCTCGATCTGAATTTTTATTTTTGGTTGCAATTAAGAATACTCGTTTGTTCGACGAAAATAGCCACCATCGAATACTGCAAGGTATCTGGGACATTTTGAAGACACGAAACTGCACGACACGACGTCCGGAAATTTGCATTTGGGTCGATGGCGGCCATTTCTAACACTTCCTGCGAAGATAAGCAAGTGGACACTACTGCACTATACAAATGACTGTAACTCAGGAATAATGTCAATATTACCATTAATTTTGGATTCCATATTGTAGAAGAGACA